AAGACTAAATTTCAAAAATGTAAATCAATATTAAATCCTAACACCAAGTAACTAGAGGGAGGGCAACATAGGCAATCTTGTCACTTTACCGGTGACAGAATATGACGGTATGAGTGAGATCCGTCCACGATTAACTAAAAATTTCGAGTTCAAAACTTAAAAATATTTTTGTAATCGGAAGCTCTTTACTCCCTTAATGAGCGTACCAACCCCAAATTGGTTTTGGATACAAGATAGTTATAGTTAAATAAAAAAGCAAATAGGTAATTTTGTCACTTTGGATATGCCAATCGTACAAGTTTTCGGATATGCTAGTGGTACAAGTTTGAACCAAGAAGCTACGCCAATGGGGAGTGGAAAAGTGTTAAAGTTTTTATTTTTCTTCAAAAGTGTCAATTTTTTTATTTTCCTTCGAAAAGTGTAGATCAATTTTGATTGGAAGAAATTTTTTGATTGAAAGGGGCACTTATTCTTTGCAGCGACGTATCCCCTCAACCATTATTATGGGTTAATAGTAAAAGTATGGGCATATTTGAAAAGACTTTTGTGAGAAAATGACTGCTCTTTCTCATTTTCAAATTTGGTGCCATTATGTGCTCATCCACACACAGCATAATCCTGCAACTCAAAAGGGAATATCCTAATCAGGGTTCAGTGGCTAATAAGAATACAGTCTCGTGTACTCAACACTCACTTCTTCCTATAACTATGTAATAAAACTTTTTTCTATTATGGGTATTATGTAAAATATCAAACAAAAATTTCAAACATATTTTGGTAAATTCTTTTATGCAACCAATCATTAAAATATGACCCTCTAATCTGACGCGTCATATACTCGTAAGGCCAATTTGACTATTTCTATATGCAACGTAAATATAAATTAATTAAACTAGTTTAAGTATCGAATACTAAATGAATATAAAAAAGAAGTAGGATTATTTTAAAAGAAATAGGTAGCGGTCTTTATGAAGGAAATATAACCGGGTGTTAGAGGTTGCTTTAGAAAGGGATATAGGAGTTGTGGACCGTTTGATCAAGAGATGGTGAAAAAGAAGGTTACAGTTTATAGTTCTATATTATTGGTTAATATTCAGGTCGAACAAATTAAAGTTATCTGATCGAATAAATTAAAATCCAAACGAGAAATTTAGTATAAAATTAATATAACAAATCGAATATCGAAAAAGTATTAAAATATCTAAAATTATACTGTGGCAGTTGAGTTGGCTCATCCAGCCGTCGTATTCGGAGAAGTGTCGCTTTCCGAGTTTATGGCGACAAACGAGTGTCGACACTCTAATCTCTTTGCTGTCGTCTTCGTCTTCACAAACTCACAAAACACTGACTTCTCTTCTCGTCCATTTCCAGTTTACCATCCCGCGTTTCGTCATTCTCACGTTCCACCAAATTCATTCTCTAATAATACGACAAAAAGCAAAAATAAAAACGCAGGAAAATTTGTCTCGAAGCTTCACTTAGACATGTCAAATTTAGTCGATACAAGCATAAATTTCCTTACGTTAGGTTATTATAGAAGGAAAAATAACGACAACAATAACGATAATAAACTCAATGTAATTTCACATGTGGGATTTGAAGAGGGGAATATGTATGTCGATTTTATTCCTATCTTGTGAAAGCAAAAAATTATTCCAGTATATTTTCGACTCAAGAAAAGTAAAATTACCGCTACTGCTATTGAAGGAAAAAGTATATTAAAGAAAAAAATGAATTGAGGCAGAATTAGTAAAAAAAAAAAAAAAAGAAGTTAAATTCGTTAATCCTGAAATCGATTAGCAATTTTTGTTAAAGTTATAAATGTGGCATCACACATTCAAGCATCAGTTTTATGACGATGAATGCTTTTGATTATTGCTTCATGCTCATGCACTCTAAATTCATGTTTAAGTACTTCATCATTTGTGTTCCTCTCTAGATTGAGAAGCCCCTTACATGGTTGTACTATGTATGAAGCCTTTAACTCTACCGTTTTATGGATACATACTATCTAGTGTATGAGTAAAAAATTACCTCTAATATGATTAAATCATGTTAGCATTAAGGAGACATTCATAGGCTGTCATGTGTCACCAATACAACTCCAATGAAGGCATGCCCAAGGTCGAAGTGGTTCTAGAAATAATGAAGGTTGCGGCCGAAGAGTCAGCAAGGATCAAGGTCGAGGAGTCGTCAAATATCAAGGTCGAGGTCGAGCATCCTTGACAGGGTTATAACGGCTAGTTTCAAGATAGGACACTAAAGAGAATATTCTGGTGGATATTCTCTGCAGCTGTACTATTGGGGTTTCTAGGAATATGTTACCCATAAATAGAAAGAGACACAATGAGAGGGGACATGTGATATTCATTTGTTAAAAACACATTGACTTTATAGAAAGAATCGGGTCCTATTACAAGCAGACAAAAACAATTGTTTTACTAAGATTCTTGTCTAGCATTTCTACTAGATCCAAGAACAACCTGAGTGTTCAAAGGCTCACAAATCATTCATCATTGTCAGAGAGAATATCCACATATCTCACCCCTTTTCGGGTGACTCACACACTTTTATTTACTTAAATGCCATTTATCGCTATTTATTACTATTTAATTCCATATTCCATCTTTTGGGATCATTGAACACTGTTATTATCGCTTACATTCATTGCCATCTGGACAAATATACAAGTTATTTGTCATAAAACCGATAACCTTGGGATATTATTATTAGCTAAGATTGACTCTTTTTTATTTAAGTATAATTGGTTGAACCAGATCTATATTTTTTGTCAAATAGTTTGGAACCGTCTGTTGGGACTTCTTAACTAATTTTTTAGTTTCCTTTAGATCTATAGCTAACGCGAGTCACTAACCTAACAAACCCCAAGATTTTTCTCTTTCTTTGCGCATACGAAAACCTACATGGCAGGTAACCAAGGAGAGAGGACTAAAGTGACAGGCGATTTTCCTAGCAACCTCATAAACGCTATCAACGAGAGCTGTGCAACATTAGGCGAGGATGTGACGCCCACTGGCTCCCCCATGCGTGAGAGGTCGCCTCCCCCCCATATTGTAGCATAACAAAACCGAACAGAAAAGGGGCCTCCACGTCCACGAGAGAAGGGACGCCACCGGCCGTGAAAAAGCTTCCCGAAGTATGGTTGACCGATATGCTAGTAAGCATGCTCAACAAGCCCGCTCCATGCACGACTACAGAGACCGCAAGAGCCCACACAACACAACGAGCAAACGAACAGGGCGAACAACTAGACCTTCCAAAACCAGGTATAACTCACAATATTACTAACAATGCAGGTGACAACGCCCTGGCCGCTGTTCTAAAGAGGATGGAAGAAATGGAGAATGAAAACAAAGCACTCAGGGATCAAATGAAAGAACACCAAGACTGAGTCGACAAGATACCGGGCACCCCCTTTTGATCAATCAAACCCCTTCCCAAAATGCACAAGCTTCTTCCAAAGCTGCTGTGGGAATAAGCGCCGCAGAATAGGCAGCTATTGACTCCCTCTTGAAAGGGACTTGGCCGGAAAGTGTTCTTGCCTTTATCATTAGCTCGGGTAGTCCCATCTTAGCAGACACCGGAGAGAAATCCCTAGTAACTTCGTCGCTCAAAAATGATTTGGCAAACTCCAAAACGCCCCACAAGTAGGCTGCTTTTTTCCGGAAGGCAGTCCGAGATAACCGTAACCGTCTATATATAGAAATACCTTGGTAATTATTCAGTTAAAAAGCCTGACTTGAATTGATTCCATACTATAATTACTCTTATTTCCAGTGATTTCGCTACAGTTTACTATTCCTAGACTAAGACTACGGCATTGAGTAAAAGTGACCGAGATGCGAGGGGAAAACTTTTGTTTAACATTTCCGAAAAGACCGCCTATTTGTCCAAGGATTGCCAATGGGTCCGACTATCCTTTCACCGGTCGGTCAGTTATAGTAGACTCTGCTGGGTAGAAGCCCGAATATCATTAAGAATATCTTAACATTTTTTATTTGTGTGTTATTTTTTAAAACTGGACGACATACGATCAAAAGTTCGGGATGATGTGATCCAAGTCAACCTAGAGTCAAAGCAGTTCCTTGAGTATCTATTGCCGAAGAGGGACTCCGGTAGGCTCGTAGAGAAGTCGTACAGCGAAGAAGCAACCCCGTAGGCCATACCAAAGACCTTCAAAATGCCGCTGTACCTCAGGATATACGATGGAACGACTAACCCCGATGACGTGACTTACTATGTCACCGCCGTGAAAAACAACGACCTCACCAAGGAACAAGTTTCCTCTATTTTGCTGAAGAAATTTGGCGAGACTCTTACGGGAGGGGCATTAGCATGATACTCATAGCTACCAGCCCGCTCCATAGAAACCTTCGAGAAAATGGCCGATAAGTTCGTAACGACGCACGTTGGAGCCAAGAAAGCCGAAATAAGAGTAATAGACATATTCACCATCAAGTAGTCCTTGGGAGAGGGACTAAGGGACTTCCTCGCCTGATTCAACAGGGTAAGGATGACCCTACCAAATGTGTCTAAGGGGATGACAGTTGCGGCTTTTCAAAGCGGGCTGAGTAGAGATGGTTCGAGAGCGACTAGAAAACTGCTGAGCCGGTTGATGAAATATCGTACAACCACTTGGGACGAAATTTATAAAGCTTACTGTGCCGAACTCCAAGCAGATGAGGATGACATTAATGGACCAACTCAACAGCTCAGCTCAATACAAGCCGAGTCCAGGAAAGAATGAAGAGACAACATCAGGAGGGATTACCTGGTCTCACGACCCAATAGGGAACGACATCAGCCATACATCATGGCTCCCGCACCACCTTCTATCCGCTACGATGAAGGCCCATCCAGGTCAAGACGGGATTCACCGCAATGAGAGAGGTATGCCCCTATTATTATCTAGTCACAATTTTTGTGTGTTACCTACAAAAATAGTCTAACTCAGAACGAAGGTGAAGTGGCCGCCAAAGATGAAGTCCGATCCGAGCACAAGAAAATCCGAAGCCCTCAGTGAGTTCCACCAGGAACGCAGACACAAAACAAAAGATTGCATCGCCCTCAGGCAAGAGTTTGTAAACATGTTGCAGCAGGGACACCTCAAAGAGCTTATAAGCGACAAGGGGAGAAACAGCTTCGCAAGAGGACATGAATTACAAGGCCCGCCGAAGCCACCATCACCAGCTCGCACTATGAACATAATCATCGGCGGCAACAACGGCGCCTCCATCAACATCAATAAATTCACTACCACTCACAAGCGCAAACGATCCATCACACGCGAATGGTATGACGGACTCAAAAAAAGTATCATATTCGACGAGTCAGATGCCGACGATTTGACTTTTCCTCACAATGATGCTCTCGTCATTACTTTGCGCATTTTAGATACTGACGTCAGACGTATCATGGTAGACGATGGAAGCTGAGCCTGCATTATCCATCCCCGAGTCCTCACCCAGATGAGACTCGAGGACAAGTTAGTGTCGCGCTGCATCACACTAACCGATTTTAATAATACAATTGAACGGACATCGAGAGAAATTACATTTCCCATCTTGGCCGGCGGCATAATGCTGGAGACGATATTCCACATCATGGATCAGGCCATCGCTTACAATGCCATAGTAGGACGACCATGGATACATACCATGGGAGCCATCCCCTCCAGCTTATACCAAGTAATAAATTCCCAACACCTTGGAGGATATTCAGCATACAGGGAGAACATCGCACGTACCGGGAATGCTACCACATCGCCTTAGACAGCACGACAACCCAACAGAAAAAAGACAAGGAAAAGAGGCATAGCAATCAATATGGCCTAGGTAGACAGAAGAAGAGACTAGAGGCGTTATCATGGATCCTAAAATGGTCAAAGTCGCGGACTCGACTATAGAGGACCTCGACCCCATGCAATTAGATCCTAGCGACTACAGCAAAAAGGCTCATCGGCTGCAAACTCCGTGAACTAGATAAATTTAGTCAATTCTTAATAACTAATGCAAATTTATTTGCCTTCAGCCATGCAGATATGCCAGACATCCCCAAGTAGATCGCCACACACAAATTAAATGTCGATCCATTGTACCCCTTGGTAAGGAAGGTCAGATGAAAGTTTAATCCCACCATCAACGATGCCATCCACGAGGAGGTGGAGAAACTATTAGAAAATGGTTCAATCATGGAGTTGAATACCCCAAGTGGGCCAACATAGTGATGGTCAAAAAGAAAAACGAAAAATGGCGGGTGTGTGTAGACTTCATCGACTTGAACAAAGCATGCCCAAAGGATTCGTAATGATGAGAGTAGAAGGCAGGAAATTGATGAGATTGACGAACGAAGAGATATGTCATACATAAGGATGGTCGCCAAAAGCAGTAAGTATGCCTTAGTACAACAAGAAAGCAAAGGTTCGTCCGCTCAAAGTCGGGGACTACATACTCATAGCCAAAACTCAAGTGAGCAAAGACCCACGGGAAGGAAAACTGGGAATAAACTAGGACGACCCATAAAAAATTACAGCCAAAGCAAACAAGGGTTCATTCCAATTAGAGACAATGGAAGGAAAATAATTACCGAACAATTGGAACATCAGCCATCTCAAGTACTTCAACTTCTAAAAGGAAGAAGTGTCCCCAAGTCGTACTCTTTTCCCCTCACTTGAGTTTTGTCCCATTAGGCTTTTCTCAAGGAGGTTTTTAACGAGGCGACAAAAGGGACACTTCGAATCGAAGTATGCGAGGGAGGGGCTCTTTTTTCTCTTTCGTTGCCCGACTCCTCAATACTCTCCATGTCAAGCAATGAAGGGACTAGATAGATGGGACCAAGACTGGAACGTCAGCCGGTGCCCAAAATTTCCGACTTTTTCCACTCATGTAATAAGAGTAACAATGTCAAAGTAATAAGAAATTTACGTTTATAAGAAAAACTTGTTGGCGCTCGGCCACGGTATTAATAAAAGGTTAAGTTCGACCCAGCTTGAACAATACCTATCGACCCTCGGCCGCACATTAATAAAGGTTCAAGTTTTATCCTGCTCGAACAACACCTATCGGCCCTCGACCGCACATTAATAAAAGGGTAAGTTCGATCCATCTCGAACAACACCTGTCGGCCCTCGGCCATACGTTAATAAAAAGGTTAAGTCCGACCCATGTTAAGCAACCCCTATCGGCCCTCAGTCGCGATTATCAAAGGTTAAAATTCGACCGAGTTTAAACAACACCTACCGACCCTCAGTCGCGATTAACAAAGTTTAAAATTTGATCGAGTTCGAACAACACCTTCCAGCCCTCGGTCGCCATTTAAAGAGGTTAAAATTTGACCAAGTTGAAAAGACACCTATCGGCCCTCGACCACGTTTCGATAGAAGGGTAAAATTATCGAGCTCCTCCTATTTCTCAGCAACCTCGCCACTAAGAGCCTCCGCCTTGAACTGACACTCTTCGAGTTAGCCTCGCAACATGACCACTTGGGCTTGGAGGTCGCGACATTGGCCCTCTAAGCCCATGCTAAGCTCAAGCTCCTCCTCTTTGCCCCTCAATGTCCCTTGTTGGACACTTCATTTCTCCACAACCCGCATCAGCTCCTCATCCCTCTTCTTTAAGTCCTCCCTCAGGGCCCGCATGTTTCCGCCTTCACGAAGCCGACACAGGAAACCCAATACTTTCCAAGGCACGTTGTGTACTTGTCTTCCAGCTTCACGTAAATGTCTTAACGTCTCTTCTCCCATCGAGCACTTCATTCTCTAGAATAACCATCTACAAAACAAAGAAAGGGAATTAGAACTTACAAAATAAACCAAAACATAAGGTAAAGAATAGACGATAGTCGTACTTACCTGGAGAGCAAGGCCAGCAATGTTATTTGACCGAGTGTTGTTGTTTATTGTCTCGAGAGTCGTACCCTCAACCTCAGAACAAAGAGTACCGAGGTCAGGGACTACTTTCACGGTATTTACAAGAAGATTACGATCCATTGGGATTGTAATAGTTTATGGAGTCCCCTTCCAACCGCACCTCGAGTTGAGTAAGTCCCGCGTCGATCATCCTCAATTCGTCCAGATCCATGTTGGAGTCGGATCTGACATCCTCATCAACAATGTCCATCTCTCTACCATCAGCAAAAGGGACATCCGCTGCAGCCCTAGAAGATGAGGCCTCATCTTGCCTCGGAAGTGCAAGTCGTTCATAATGTGTTCCGTCCTCGACCATCTCCCTCACGAGACACATCGATGCATTCGTTTTCATCTCCACCATGTGCAGGACCTCCGAGCCTACCCCGATGTTCTCTCCAACATACACCGTGGTCGTCTGATTCAAATCCAATCCGCACTCAATAGTGAGTGGAAATGCTCGTTAGAAGAATAGTACCCAACAAGAGTCGGGGTCGATTTCCACAGGGAGTTACTATGGGTGTTAGGAGTATACACTTTATGGAAGCGAATGGAATAACTGCACTTCCAACAAAAGGTTTTATTTCTAATTTAATTTTACTCTAGCAATTATAAGCTAAGAAAATAATCTAGAAGTGAATGATTATTTTTTGGTATTTTTCCAAATAGCTAAAAGGCCTAGGGATGTGACCATAACCTAGGTGATCACCTAATGGGTTAAATACGTAAATACTTGTTTTGTTGATTGGGATATATTATAGCTCTCAACTCTACATTACCCACTCAATACCACTCGATCAAAAAGTGACTTTGCCAAATTTGGCTTTCTCAAGCCCAAATGGGTATCAAACTAAATAGTTGATATGAGCTCAAGTCGGATTCTCACTCTAGTTTGAACCCTTTAATTAGGCTATCAAACCCTCAATTAGCCCAATTCCTCGTTAGCCAAGTTATCCAAGACTAGGTCCCTTTTTCTCAAGTAGAGACCGTGTAAAAAGGCATTAATCAATGTTTGCAACCATTAACTCTAAAGTTGAAGCATAAACTAATCTAAATAATCAACACCCAATCATAAAAATGTATTAAATTAAGTACCCATAAGGTTTACACACTAGAGTTGTCACAACCCTTGTAAGAATCTAGCTACTCATAGTGAGAAATGAAGAAAAAAAAAGAAGAAATGCTAATTAAACTCATAATCTAAGATTGAAATGATAAAATATGATGTTTGAGACCTAAAATAATCACAAACTTCCTAAAATGGCAAAATGTAACGGTTACAGCAGCTCAAACTTTGAAACTTGATCTAAAAATGTGAAACTCGTCTATTTATAGTGGCCCAAAATTTGCTGACCAAAATACCCCTCGGGAGGTTCTGCAGCCGCACAATTCCATGTGCGATCTGCAGATTACTTCAGCTGGCAGGGCCTTGAATTTTGCAGCCGCACAATTCTGGATTGCGGCTGCAAAGCATCTTCTGCGGCCGCACAGTTCTTGTGCGTCCGCACTTTAGCAAGGCTTCACATCTTGGTCTTTTGCACTCTCTGAACTTTGAATCATTTGTCAGTACAAACCTTATTCTATGGTCGCACAATTCATGTGTGTTTCGCAAATTGGCTAAACTCTGCTGGGCTCTTTTACTTGATCTGCGGCCGCAGATGGAATTCTACGGTCCGCACTTTCTTCTGTGGCCGTAGAAATCCTTTTACGGACCGCACTTCTTAAGTTCTGCGCCCCTCCTTGCTTTGTGAGTCGGAAACTCCTTTTTTAGTCGGATTTCATCATGGGAGCTCAAACTTCCAACATTCCTGCAATTTGCGCACTTTCATTAGTTTCAGGAACATAAATCAAAACTTTCGGACTAAAACAAAAGTAAAAAGGTATTAATAAGTAGTCAAAATTCACACTTATCAACTCCTCCAAACTTAAGTCTTAGCTTGTCCTCAAGCAAATAAATTAGTTCCCACCTCCTTAGAAATAAGGGTCATTTCAGCGAGTCAAAGGAGAGCCATTCACACATCAGTTAGGACCAACACTTATTTACACTACTCATGCATTATCAACAAGGTGACAAGTCAAATATTCATGCACATATAGTTCTAATGTGACATTTGAGCTTCAAGAACTGACTTTACTCTTCAAGGACTCTTGTTCTGTCATGTAGGTCATGGTGGACTCCAAACTCTTCCTCTTCTACTTTTCATTTGCCAAGATCATTTAAGAAATTAGCACTCAATCTTAAGACTCATGAAAGGTCCACTCATCTCTCACAAGAGAATGTCAGAAGTACGGCTTCTAGTACCATAGGCTTGCCCCTCATGTAGATTGCCACTAATGTAAGCTCACTCGGTTTGAAATCAAGTAGGACTTCTTTAGGGTCGTAATGAAGGCTTTTGGATTAGGGTAAAATAGCATATGGGTAAGTGGTTACACCTTTCCTTAAGCACTCCACGTTTTCATTTCTCGGCTTATAATTACCAATTCTTAGAGGCATTTTCTTTTCATTGGGGACCAGAGGGACTTAACATCACT